CCCCCCCCCCCCCGGTTTACAAAATTTGAGTTCGGGAAATTTTTTTATTATTGTACATTATAAGTACTAAGGTAACCAAAGAAACTATATATATATCAAAAACTGGATACTAATAGCTGTTTTGCGAAATTGAGAGCAATTTCAAATCTGTTCAGTTTTTTTTATACACCCTGTAGTTAGCACACTTTGTTCCACGTAACTAAGTTACTTTCGAAAGCCAAACAAAGATGTATTGTGTTTTTTTTTACAATTTTCAATTGCCTTGCTTACAGCCTTAAACAAATGTTTACCACAGCATGTAGAGTACTGGAGACTTGTAATATTGACATATCTTATTCCAGGCAAAACTATCAGACCAATAGATAGCAAGGTGGCTCAACAAGACCATCCGTTATTAGTATAAACCTACTAATAGGCTATCACATATCGTGCCTTCTGATTGGCTACGCTACTAGTAGGCTATTAGTGATAGCCTACTAATAGAAAATTCAAAATGGCGGAAAATTCGCGTTTTGCACTTTTGCCGAAGTGTCTGATGATTTTTTGGACGACTTGTTGAACAATTCTGTACTAAAAACTTGTTTTGATAAGTAGCTTTGGCATAGGTCGTTGCATTCGAACAATTTCCTTCTGCTCAATCGCATTTCGTGAGCTAAAAGGCCTTTGTAAAAGCTCAGAGATAATATCTCTGGTACTACGGCCTTCAGATGTTATGCTTGGTTGAGTCTGATCGATTTCCATATTCATAACTTGAATAAATTTCGCCAAAATTGCTCAATAATTCAACAGCATTTAATTTGGTCGTGCTTTCAAAGATGAGCACGACAAGAAGAAAAAATTCTGCGTGCTACGCATGCGTGAGAGGCAATCCAAACAATTCTCGCCTGACGAGAGCACGACTAACGGGTGGGTTACCCGTTAGTCGGGCTATGAAACCCGCGGTTGGGTGAAATACGGGCAAAATCGCCGGATTTGGAAGGATTTCGCACTTATAAAAGATGTCGCAAGTGTTGATTCTTAAATTTTAGGATTTTTTTAAGACAAAAAAATTATTTTCTTTTAAATTTTTTTGGCGTGCCCAGCATGACCTCTAGCTACGCCACTGGTTGACCATAAGAGTGTAGATGTTTTGTTTTCGAGCGCTAGGAGGGAGGCTGTTGAGAGATATGAGGATGTGAGGCAAAACCGGGAGATGCTAAATAATATTAGTGAAGCTGTGCTGTATTTGGCTAAGCAAGAGCATTTAGAGGCCATGATGAATCCAGCATAAGTCTGAATCAGGGTAATTATAGAGAACTTTTAAAGTCCTAATTTGGTAAATTAGATTCTGTGTTCGACCGTCGTTTACATGGCAGGCTACAGGATTCAGAAAGGCCTGATTCTGGGGGTGTTTTTACCGGTATGTCACCAGATCTCCAAAATGATTTGATTGAATGCATGGATGCTGTGATTGAGGATCAAATTGATAAGGAAATAAGGGACTGTCAGTTCTTTAGTATCCAGTGTAATGAAAAATTGGATGTGTCTACTAAAGAGCAACTTAGCGTCATTGTTCGTTTAGATAGGGGGGCTGAAGTAGTGGAAAGGTTTCTAAAGTTTAGGAATGTCAGCACAGATCGCACTGCCCGAGCGATATGTGATGTTGTTAAAGGGGTGCTTAGCAGATATAGTGAGTCAGTTAAAGCTAAACTGATTATGCAAATTTATGATGGTGCAGCTGTTATGAGTGGTCATCTCAATGGTGTCCGGACCCTCATCCGTCAAGATTATCCATTTGCATTTTTCTTTCACTGTGCCGCCCACCGCTTAAATCTAGTTCTGTGTCAATCTGCATTGAATATCAAGGAGGTAAAGCTCTTTTTCTCCAAGATATCTGCTTTTTGTACCTTTAGAAAGGCACACCTAAATTCCCATGGTGTTGATATCCCAAATCCAGGTAAAACTAGGTGGTATTATAAGTCCCGTACTATCTCTGCTATCTTTAAGGGGTATGAAGCCTTAGAGAGAGCTTTGACTGAAATTAAAGATGCACCTCGAACGTGGAAGGAAGACACAGTTGACCGGGCAGATGGTCTACTCTAAAATCTTGAGTCCTTCCTATTCTGCTTTTTATTAGAGCTTTGCTACAAAATTTTGGAAAAGTGCTCAATCTTATACAATGTTCTGCAAAATAGGGCCACTAATTTCTCTGATGGTGTTAAAAAAATCCAAAATTTTGTAGATTTTCTCAAAAATGATCTTCGCAATGATATTGCCTTTGAAACTTGCTATGCGGCTGCTGAGAATCGAGCTGGTGTCTCATCCAGAAGATCAGAGCAAAGTATTAATTATAAGCAGCTTTATTGTGAAGTGATTGACACCATTGTTACTATGGTCAATAATCAGTTTCAAGATGTTGACAGCTTCTCGTTTCTCGATTTGGTGACCCCCAAAATTTTCACTAAGTGTCAAAGTGGTGTTCCAGCTGACAAGTTGCAGCTGTTAAGAGATAAATATGGGCCACTCTTTGATATTTCTAGTCTCGAAAGCCAACTAATGTTTATTTACAAAGATCAAGATTTTTAAAGGATAATCCAATGGAACTTTTGCAATATATTTACCAGATGAATATTCAGGGTGTATTCCGGAATTTATCAAGTTACTAAAATGAATGAAATGAATAAATGCTGTCATTGCGGTATCGAGTGCATCTGCTGAAAGGGTACCCGGACATTTTGCCGAAAGACACTTTGCCGAAAGACATTTTGCTGAAAGACATTTTGCCGAACGGAAATTTTGCCGACGGACGTTTTGCCGAACGGACGTTTTGCCGAACGGACATTTTGCCGAACGGACATTTTGTCGACAACTTGCCGAAAATAGAGATGTTGGTTTTTTATGTGTTGGTGTAATGTACTCAGGTGAATACGTTGTTTGTGATGTTACTCCTGAGTGCATGTATATCCACACTGGGCAAGCTTGAAAAATATGCCTGGCCACGGTGGGAATCGAACCTACGACCTTTGGTGGAATACTAGCCCAATGCTCTGCCAACTGAGCTACGTGGTCAGGTCGGTTCGAGTATGTGATATTTCGAAACAGAATCTAGTTCCTTCGATATCGATGTAATCTAGTAATCATAGACGTAAGCAAATTTCACTTCGAGAATCATGGAATACATTCACAGTTCTCAGGGAAATCGCATTCATGAATGATGTTGAATAATGTTATTCTTTATATCGCGAAATTAATCACAGAAACTTTGACCGTGTAAGCGAACCTTTAAAGTTCAGAAGATATCTCTATTTTCGTCAAACTGTCCGTTCGTCAAACTGTCCATTCGACAAAATGTCCGTTCGGCAAAACGTCCGTTCGGCAAAACGTCCGTCGGCAAAATGTCCGTTCGGCAAAATGTCTTTCGGCAAAATGTCCTCCGGCAAAGTGTCTTTCGGCAAAATATCCGGCCACCTGCTGAAAGATCCTTTTCATGTTTGGGTAGGGTAAAGTCCTATCTTCGCAGCACAATGAGTGATGGACGACTTGGCTCATTATGCAGGATATCTATCCATAATGACATACTTAATGAGAAAGAAGATCAGAAGCAGCTCCACAAGTTGGTTTCGAGAAGTTTATTGAAAAGCCAAGACGTCTTAATTTTCAATTTAGGTAAATACTGTATTTACCTAAATTGAAAAAATACTACATCCAAATTTGATTGAAGACATTGTGTGAAGGATACAAACTACTTGAAAAGTATAAGCAGAACTTTGACATTTCGAGCGAAGGCCCTTCAGTTATGTGGTTTCTACTGTATGCATTCAATCAGGTTATATTATATTGTCAAACTTTCCTTTCAGACACCTCTCTAATATGGAAAAGGTTTATCTCTAGTGTGTGTTCTTTTATGATCTCCATGTGGGCCAGTTTCTGTCAACATCTTTACTAAAAGTCTAAAGTTATATTCCTGTTTATTTCAACAATCTCGTACATAAGTTTTGTCACCAGTGTGTGTTCTTTTATCAGTTTTATGATCTGCCAGGTGGCTTGTTTCAGTGAATCCCTTTTAAAACTATCTCCAACATTAAGGTTTATTTCCAGTGTGTGTTCTTTCATGACCTCCATGTGATCTCGGACAGTTATTTGGTAATAACTATAGTAATAAGATTATAAGATATTTCAAATGTCTCATCCATAAGTTTTGCCTCCAATATGTGCACTCATTTATGATCCGCACATTCTTTTATGATCTGCACATTTAAATACCTCTATACCAAGCACATATTCAGATATTCTATCCTCAATGTTCTCTTCTATTATTAATTTAAATTTGGACAGCTTTTATTTCTTATATAAGAATTCAGAGTTAGGTCAGGTTAGATTAGGTTTTAGGTGTAGGATTGGGTGGTATTGGGATGGGAATGGGAGGGTGGGAAGTAAAGGGTTAGAATTGACTGGGATGATGTGCAAAAGTGAGCAATTGCATATCCATGAAATGTCCCAAATAGTTGCCCTTTTCTAACCAAACTCCTTTTAAAAGGTGTGAAAGGCGGGTTACTGGCGCCTTAAAACCAGTTTGCTCATTTTAGGCCTTTCACAAGGCTGTCCATGTCGGATTCGCAAGCTTACCACTATATATGGTATATGTGTTTCCTAGACATGCTGATGATCGAGCCCTGATATGGGGCGAAACAGCCATTTTTAATTTTTTATGGCCATGCTTTACAATACTGTAAACAAAAAATGAAGTGCAATTGTGCAAAATCTTATATCACAGAACACAGGTGCAATAATTTATTATCTTGCCCCTGAAAGCAACATTTCAAAATATGTAAAGTTATTTGCAAATTATACTGCAAACTCTGCTCTCATACAAAATTTTCACGAATGACATTTTTGATTTTTCGAAACAGATTTCTGTAAAATATTTTCCTTAGAAAAGCACTTTTTCATGTTTTGTTTTTGAGGAATTCCATCATGAAAATGCAGGAAATGGCCATTCCGGTCTTTCCAGATTCAAACACTTTCCGGGGGGGGGGCATGCCCCCGGATCCCCCTAGGGTGTGCGAGCTTTTGAGCATGACCAATTGAAAATTGCCAGCTACGCCACTGCCCTGGGACTTCAATTATTTATTTATTTACATTGACTACTGGTGTATTGGTTGCCGTCGCCGACGTGCTGCCGTCCTACATGCTTTAAGTTCCCTAATGAAAAAATGACAAATTTGATAATCCCGACTACGCGGCAAGACATACGACACTATGCTTTGCATGGTAAAACATTTTCACGTTACCTGGTACAGTTGCCTTTTCTCCTAAATTTATATTTTTCACCATTGTATGAATTTCATCCGTTCGTACATCAATGGAGGACAATTTCTGCTCCACATTCTCATGAAACAAACTGTTGGCTTGCAACTCCTTCACACGACATTCATGTAATTCTTGAACTCTCTCCGTAGGGAAATCATCCTCGCTCATTTGACCAATAGTATCCACAAAAGCGGTATCAATATTGACTGCTGTTAATGCGTTGGTTACTAGCTGAACATAATTGTCAAAATCAGTTTTAAATAGTTCAGGTTTGGGTGAATGACAAAGTGTGTTTCTCAATAATCGAAGTTGGTCAATTGCCAAGGCGTTGGTCTCATCTTGATTTCTTGTTGAACTTTGAACTGATGGATGAAAAGAACCAGGAGGTGGTTTAACTTTCTTCAAATATAAATTATTCAAAGTTGATCTCTTGCTTCCTGGAACAGCAAAGATTTTGGCATAGATTGTTGCTTTAAACAAAGCTGTGCAGTCCCACTCCTCGATTGATTTCGTAGTTGGTATATCTGTTTTAACACCTTCAGATTTAAGAAGCATGTTCCGTACCGTGATACTGTCATCCCATGGAATGAATCCTGGTCTTGCAGCAACCTTGCTGTCCCACATGGTGATAAAAATTTGACGCAACACCTTGGGAAACTCATCAAGAACAAGTGTAGAAAACTTAAAGAAATTCAATTGTTCCTTCGAAAATGGTTTCACTGCCATCGTGGCGCAAAATCTAGGCCATTTAATTTCTTTCAGTACCAACTATCTACAAAAGCAATAAAAATACAAAAAATAATTGATTAGAGCGATCATACCCATTATATAAATCATAGACGGATTTTCACATTTTTTACTGGGGTGGTACCAGAAATTTTAGGGGGGTGAGCCGTAAGCAGGTGACTGAAGCAACACAAAGTGTCACCAAACCCCAATAAGGTCTCTATTCAGGGGTGGAGCACTAGAGCCGCGAGGGGGAGTCTAGAAAGCAGAAAACAAAGTATCCCTGGAAAAATTGGAAAAAATCATGATTTCTAGCTTCGAAAAAACGTTTTTTGAAGTTGTCATATCAATGGATTTGGCATGTCCGATTGTCTGTTGAGACTTGAGAGAGTTAAAGTTAAATGAACCTGTAAAAGTGTAAACCCAATACGGCAATAGGCCAATACACAATATGCTTTTACTTTTATAAAGTCATTGACATTGTGTCGTTTGAACCCGAGTACAATTTATGATGCAACTCCGAGTAAATAATATTTGGGGCGTAAAGATTAAATCTAGGCAAGTCTATTTCCTAAAAGAATTAAAAACTAAAAATAATGTTCCTAAAAATTCCAAACGTAGAATAGAATAGAATAGAAATCTTTATTTACCCACGTAAAAAACTCATTCACAAACGTGCTCTTCCAGAGTGACGTGCATTAACTATATATACAAAAATAAAGTTACAAAACTAATGACATGAAAAATTAATATAAAACTATAATATAATACTGTATAGGCTATACGCTATTGGAGAGTTACACACTAAATTTTAGCGACCTCTTAAATTCTGTTAGTGAATTAGCCAAGGGAACATGTCTTGGAAGAGAATTCCAGATTACAGCTCCGCTGTATGAAAAACTCTTTTTGAGAAGATTGCTCTTTGGTTTTGGAGGTAAAAGATTTAGATCATGCAGAGTTTCGGAAATCATGATCATGTACTTGATTGGTTTCGCGAAACAAATCTTTTAAATACTCAGGAGCCAAGTTGTTAAGCACTTTGTACATCATGATAGCTTTTTT